TAGATACCAGAGACAATAAAGTTTATGCAGCAATACACCTTCAAAAGAAAAGTAATCTGTACTATTACTAGTTAAGCATCTTCCTTATTCCTTAGAAACAAATAGATCACCAGGGCAAATGTTTCTGGTTTGCTTTCCTGGGTTTTCCTGGAATCGGAGGCATAGAACAGAATTTCTTTATCTATGGTAACATTGATACCCAACTTCTGCTTTTCTATTACAAATACAAAAACTTATGTCTCTAGCAAGGGGTGGGACTAAAGAAATAATGCCTTTTGCAGTTTGATCATGTCTGAGAATGTCATCTTCCTGGCACATGGTTGATAGTTTGGACAGTTGTGAAAGCAGATTGGTTTCACAAAAGCATTTGAACAAAGGGCTTCTGTGTCCTTATTTCTACATTTCCTGCACTGATGTCTTCCCCAAACTGAAATTATCTACATTAAGAATATGTATGTTTTCTAGCTTGCAAAAAAAAAATGATATATGCAGTTGCTGCTTATAATCAGGAATGTGCCTAGTCCCCTGTCCTATAATCTACTCATGAACAATCAGTATTATTTCAGTCATTTTTCAGGTTGAGGTGGGTAGCATATAAATGTAATAAATAAATATATTTCTGATAATGGTTAGATGAGAAAAATCAAGCCAATGAACCAGATTAGCCCTGATTCCAGTAAGTGCTATTGAAAACAATAACAAGAAATAACAGAGTTAATAAACACAACAAAGAGATGAGGGCACTGCACAGAAAAAACTTCAAGTAGCTTGATCTCTTGAAAGCTACAATCTCAAGCTGTTAACTATTATCATAGACAATTTAGCTCTTCATGCTGTTCTGTAGTTAGAATTTAGGAGATGGTTTTTTTTATTCCATATTATATAGTTTTACATATTCTACTTTGGATCAAAGGTATAATGATGAAAAACAAATTAGTCCATTAAATTTAATAAACAGTACCATGTCATTTCCTTGCACATCTTTAACTTTATATCTTACTACTTATTTTAATTTTGATTGCAGGATAACATAATTGCAAAGTTTAAACAACTATAAGTGAATAATGTATTCCATTTTTATAAATATTCTCATCCAAATATAAAAATGCATAATATGATTATGACTGAAGAATACAGTATATTGGATTTTAGTCGTTCATATCAAATTTCGGATATATATTGTTGGTGTTCAGCAATCCAAATGAAATGTTACTTCAGCCACTCAGTAACTTTGGCTCACTAAACTATTATGTTATTATGAGATTATTATAACAATTTTGTAAGGGAAGGAGTGACAGAACTGGGGGCAGAGTTAAAAGAGGGATCAGCCTAGAATCTCTACTTAGCCACAAGCGGACTAAGTCCAAACCCTTAAATTGAGTTGACCCTTATCTTACTCCTAGCAAGTTCTAACCCTTAGTTGAGAATATTCTTGTACATAGGTGTAAGCAGCAATAAATCAGTTTAATTGGACCTTCACATGTAGACCTGATCTTCATGCCTGACAGTTATGATGCATCTACTATTCAATATTTTCCTTACAAAACTAGTTTAACTGATTTAGAGTGGGCAATAATTGGCACTGAATGGAAGTGCAGTCTTTCTGCAGTTCACTCTAAGGTTACATGACACACAGAACAGTTAGATTTGCACAAAGAACAGGGTTTTAGTATGATGTCTAAAGGCAAGCGAATTTTTTTTCAACTGTATCTTAGTATGCTGAAGGTTTCCAGATTTTTTAAAATTTATGTTCTATTTTCCAGTACTCCATTAGATGTCAATGTAAACTCAAAACAATTATCAATGGATACTGGATTTTTTTAAAAAAATGCTGCCCATTATTATTTAACAAAGAACTGTAACTGATAGATTTGCTTTCCTTTTTTAAAATAGCTATCTTTTGGGGTTATTACAATGCATTTTTAATGGATCTGCCTTGAAAATATACAGAAATTTCAATTACTCCAAAATACGGCAATTGTTATCTTGGACTGTACATAATAATTCAATACATCAATGTTTCATTATCTCCGGTCTGTTTCTAGACCCAGTTAAACGTTCTGATTAAAGATTTGGAATCAAGTTACCAATGGAATCATCTCCTTTCAGATTTATCTAATAAAACAGGACCAAGTTCACTAGGACCTTTGACGCCACTATTCAGTAGGATTCTTTTTTTCTTCTATGCAGCATGTTTTGTTGGTGGTGCTGCCAATTTAATTTTTTGACAGTATCCTAATATAATCAGACTAAATTTGTGTAGGATCCCAGAGCCAAAAAGGTGAATTAAAATTGTTTTACTCCCTCTCTACCTAAAATTATATTAGTAATTTGAATCAATGGCATCCCAAGCAATGACTTCTGCAGATATGATGCCAAACTTTAAAAAGTAAACTTTTAAGTAATCCTTCAGTTTAAAATCAGTATAAAATTATTGTTGTTTAAAGAGAATTCCATTATTGCTGTGTTTTATCAACTGCTACCTGAGTCTAACTTTCTTTTTTCTTTTTCTCTTTTTAATTTGCTAGGTTTACTCAGCAGCATATAAACATCCTCATAATTAATATAAATAAATAAAAAATAAGCGCTATGGAGAGATTTTTGTGGTTTTGAAAATAAACAATCTGTAACTAGAAGAACTGGTTACTTTTGATAAAAGTGACATGGAACATGTTTCCTTTCATTGCCTTTGTCCCCATAAAAAAACAGGAAATGTAAAATCTGTGAACGTTGGTAGTACCACATTCTGGGTTGTGTTATTGTTGTAAATTAAGTTTGTGTCTGTATGTGTGTAGGCTGAGACCACACTTGGCTAAGGAACACCTTTCATGAAATACATGGGCCAGGTGTAGAAGCTGATGAGACCAAGCACAAATCCATTGTTTTGAATTTCATTTAAATTGAATACAATTGTTCCCCCATATATTTAATCTTTTCCCTGATTTGTCACATTAAGAAATCAAAGATGGCAGAATTCTTGGAAGGGCTCTGGAAACATTAGCCAAGATTTGGGAGGGCTGCTTATAGCTTTATGTATCACTGTTGTATATCAAGCAAAACATTAAGGACACATTTTCTTACAGTACTTTAAATGTGGCTGAAGTCGATGGAGTTGGTTGGATCATATATTAAGATTTCATTAGATCCAGTGCACTTTGCTATTTACAAAGATAAATAGACCATGCACTTAAGCTTCCAAAGGCTGATATACGAACCCCACTAGTTTATACCATAGTCAAACTACATACAAACCCATTGTTTAAGCAAAAAAAAACCTATGTCTAGTTGGAATGGGAGTGTTTGTTTCTTTTGCATTACTGTCATTTTCTGAAAACTTAAAAAAGGAGGAGAATTCATTAAACATTTATGCATACTTGCAAAGAGTATAAAAAAGAGTGTGTATATAAGGCCCTAAGGCTTGGCAACATTGGACTGAGAAATGCATGTAGACTTTTTTTTAAAAAAAATACCAATTTTAGCAGAAACAGTCATTTTGACTGAAGACGTAAGAGGTGGATGAATCCAGTTATGGTCCAACTTTCACAGCCATACATTGCAACTGGGAAAACCATGGCCTTGACTATACTTACTTTTGTTGGCAGGGTGATGTCTCTGCTTTTTAGTATGCTGTCTAGATTTGCCATAGTTTTCCTCCCCAGGAGCAAGCGTCTTTTAATTTCTTGGCTGCAGTCCTCATCTGTGGTGATCTTGGAGCCCAGGAAGATAAAATCTGCCACTACCTCCATTTCTTCCCCATCTATTTGCCAGGAATTGAGATGGCCGGATGCCATGATTTTGGTTTTCTTAATGTTGAGTTTCAAGCCAATTTTTGCCCCTTCCTTCTTCACCCGCATCAAGAGGCTCTTTAGTTCCTCTTCGCTTTCTGCAATTAGAGTGGTATCATCTGCATATCTTAGGTTGATATTTCTCCCAGCAATCTTAATTCCAACTTTTGATTCATCTAGCCCTGCCTTTCTTATGATGTGCTCTGCATATAAATTAAATACATTTCCACCCCAGGCCACCCCAATGATGCCCTTGACGTGATGGCCCGGTGCCTGGAGGCCGTACGGGTCTGGATGGGGAGAAACAGACTCAGGCTCAACCCTTCCAAGACTGAGTGGCTGTGGTTGCCGGCCTCCAGACATAGTCAGCTGACTCCGTCGCTGACTATAGGGGGCGAAACTTTGGCCCCCTTGGAGAGGGTTCGCAGTCTGGGTGTCCTCCTGGATCCACGGCTGACACTAGAAGATCAGCTGACGGCCGTGGCCAGGGGGGCGTTTTACCGGGTATGCCTGGTTCACCAGTTGCGGCCTTTTCTGGACCGGGACGCCTTGCGCACAGTCACCCATGCTCTTGTCACCTCCCGCCTGGACTACTGTAATGCTCTCTACATGGGGCTCCCCTTGAGGAGCACCCGGAGGCTCCAGTTAGTCCAGAATGCAGCCGCGCGGGCNTGGCGACCCCCAGGGGGAGGGCCTTCTCGGTTGGAGCCCCCACCCTATGGAACGAACTACCCCCAGAGATCCGGGTGATTCCGGATCTCCCCTCCTTCCGCCGCGCCCTCAAGACATGGCTATTTAAGCTAGCAGGTCTGGCCTAAGGGATATTTTAATCTGGTTTTTAAAACAATTTTAAAAAGAAATGGCCAATTAAATATTTTGTTTTAATTATTTTTTAAATTTAGTATTTATTGTATTATGTATTGTTTTAAATGGCTGTAAGCCGCCCTGAGTCCGTTGGGAGAAGGGCGGGGTAGAAATAAATAAATATATGAAATATATATATAAAATATATATATATATAAATAGGCAGAGCGACAGAATGCAGCCTTGCCGGACTCCTTTCCCAATTTTGAACCAATAAGTGGTTCCATGTCCAGTTCTCACTGTTGCTTCTTGACCCGCATATAGGTTTCTCAAGAGACAAATAAGATGGTCTGGTATTGTAGTCATATTTTTTTAACATTTCTATATTTAAATATGTCTTCTTTTTATTAGATGGAGGAATGTATCACCAGTTGGACACCCTATACCAGGAACTCGATTCATTGCTTTTAAAGTACCCTTAAAAGGGGTATGTATAAAACTATTTCTATGAAATTATATTAACTAAAAAAGGAAATCAATACAGCAAGATTCATTTTATACTGTATAATCAATGTTTGACTATAAATAGAATCTGTGCAATACTACAGATTCAGTTCTAAAGAGATGTTTCACAGTATACTGGCCAAAAATGTAACACCCTTGTAGTTACATTTGAACCTCTGGACAGCTGACTATTAACTTTCCCTTCACAGGATAACAGCTTTTAATATACTATTAAATAAGACCAATTACACTATATGGTTCTCACACAGTCCCTCTGTCATCAGTGCTACCTCTACTATGGAGTATTTGATACTTTGGTTGGCATTTATTTTAATGAGGGAACTATATCTTTCCTCAGTTTTTTTAAATCTAATAAACTTACAATTTGATACTCTTTGACATTAAATAACTAATCTTCAATTCCATGTTTGCACATTCTTCCTATGATCAAATTCATTCAGAATATTGCACAAAAGTTCCCCTAATTCACCCCCTGGTTCTTCCATTATTGTCTTTCACCGAAATATAACATGCAGTAATTATCACACTGTCACCAAACAATGGATTTCTGCTTTCAAATACATCCACAGTAATCTCAATGACATCAATTCATAGTTTTTGCATACATTATACACCTTTTCATTAATAATTAAACCTGTATTTTCAGGCACATATTCATCAACTTCACTTCAAGCACTTCAATGTCAAGCTACTTTTATTTAGATTTTAGTACATTTTTCCCCATTTTACTTTTACAAACATTTAGTTTTCTTTTTATTTCATTTAGTTTGTTTATACATATGCTTGTATATCAGGCCCAATGACGAGGTCCAGGAGCCGAGTGCAGACCTTGATCAGCCTATAAAAGGACTCTCCTATTGACTAGCATTTTAAGCCCTGACGATGTCGGCAGTTTGCCGACGAAAGCTTGGTGATTGTATTAAACTTTTATAGTTTAAGATTTTCCCTGGTGTTCACGTTTATTTGCTTATTTTGAATATGCTTGTATTTACACATATGCTTGTACACATATGCTGTACATTTACTCCTCTTACATTTTTATTCAAGTAACTTAGCCTTTGTTTGCTCATTAAAGCTGATGAAAAGGTTCACATATGAATTAATTTGAAAACATAATAGTGAAACAGACATTTTTTTCTAATTTGAATAGCACTGTTCCTAGTTCTACTATTGATGATGTTCCTCAAAAATGGAAGAAAGGGTATTTCTGTTTCCTGTGTATTTATTTATTAAATCTTAAATTTATTAAATATATTTATTTATTAAATTAAATCTTATTGTTGAAACAGCTTTGTATCTGATAAATAGTAATATTATCTAAGAATATACAGAGTTATACATTGTGAAATATACTTCAAAAAGATGGAAATGCAAATATAAAAAGATGTTTACTTCACAATTACCTACTCTACCTAGAACTGCTTACCGACTTCTCTGTAGAACAAGTAACTTCACTTATTCATGTTTAATTCAGAATCATGGCATTGGATGAATGCTTTCAGAGTCTATGCATTTGTTCAGTATGGGATATAAAATATAAAATATTTATTATTGTTATCTCTATACTAGCCTGTGGTAAAAGAATATATACAACTAGAGTAAAAAGAAAAGCAACTTCAGTCCTTAAAAGGACTGCTAGCTGTTCTATTTATTTTTAAATAAATTATTTATTTGCTTAGAAACTACCTGATATTTCTGTATGCTTATGTTTTGTTTTCAATTTAACTATTTTTAAAAAAATTAATGAGTCAGATTTTTCTATCTGCATAAGAATATCTTTCCCTACTGTACTTATTTTTTTCCTGCATCCTAGGTAATCAATCATCGACTTACACCAACTCAAAAGTTTACACCAAAAGATCTGATTGCTGCAGTGAAAGCTTTCAATACGGAGCTTGGTTTAATCATTGATTTAACATATACAACAAGATACTATGATATCAAGGTAATAGTAAATTAGTATTTGCTGGGGATAATAAAAACATTTGGCCCATTTTTTTTCAATAATGATATAGAAATAGTTCAAGTTGTTACGGAATTTTCAGTCTTCAGCATCGGAGGAACTGTTCTATAATAAAGGTCATGCCTTGCTGGAAATGAACCTATCCACCTGGCCCATTCATCAGGAGAAAGCCTGCTGAAAGTTAATAGGCATGAGAGAGACAGTAGGTATTCTCTATAGCAGAGATCCCCAACCCCCAGTCCATGGCACAGTACCAGTCTGCAGCCCATTGGGAACTGGCCACACAAGTGGCGGGCGAGCTTTTGAAGCTCCATTTGGGCAAGTGGCAGGCGCGCACACAAAACCATCCTTTCTTCCCCCCACCATTGCCGCTGCCAGTACTGCCAAACCACACAGCCAGAAAGGTTGGGGATCGCTACTCCACAGCATCCTCAACTTTATGAAATGATCTTCCCCCAGGAATATACACAGCACTCACCTTGTTGCAGTTCTGTAGTCTGGTTATAATAATTTTATTCCCAAGTTGTTTTGTGCTCACATGGCTGACTCTGGATGCTGATCTTGGTTTATAACTTAGCCTCTCTTTTGTGTCTGTATTTTTTAAAAAAATTTATATTCATATGAATTTAGTTATTTCCTACTAGGTTTTTCTGTTTACTTGATGTGGTGAATGACTCAAAGTCCCTTCAATTTAGGGTAGGTTGTAAGTAGCATAGGAAAAGAAGGAAGTTTAAAAGGAAAGAAAAAAGGGAATGCATTATGCTAGTTAATGGTACTATGTCATCCATGTCAAACATGTTTTGCAAAATACAATAAGATATATCCTTGCTTAGAGCTTAGTACATGATACAAATTGAAGCGAAAGATAGATGCACTAGGATTTTGGAATGAAAAATATTATAATATTAGATTGGCGTATGCAGAACTGGAAGCACTCTAGAGAGAGATGCACTTTGTGTCATGTAACTTCCCTAGAAGCTGGAAAAAATACAAATTAAAGCACAAATCACAGAGAAGAAAATCACCAATACTTCACAAACAAAAAAGGCAATGCTATACGGTAGTCCTTCATTTACCATCACAATTGAGCCTCAAACTTCCAATGCTAAGCAAGGAAGTTGTTAAGTGAGTTTTGTCCCATTTTCTTGCACAATTGTTAAGTGAATCACTGCAATTGTTAACTTAGAACACATTCATTAAATAAATATGGCGTCTGACTTTGCTTGTCAGAAGGTCGCAAAAGGTGATCACATGACCCGGGGACATTGCAACCATCATAAATATGAGCCAGTTACCAAGCATCCAAATTTTGATCATGTAACTATGGGGATACTGCAATGGTCATAAGTGTGAAAAACGGTCATAAATCACTTTTTTCATTGCTGTTGTTAACTTTGAATGGGTTGCATAGTTGTTAGTTGAGGACTATCTAAATGCTTCCATTGTGAATATGGCAGTATCTTCTGAGTGCATAATTTGTATCTACAATAAGGAATCATTATTCTTAAATGCTAGATCATCTAATATATCAGTATTTTACTCTGCATTTTGAAGAACTAAAATCTTAAAATGTATTCTACCCTTTCTAAATGAAAGTGTTTTTCATAGTTTCTTTGCGATGGAACATTAGAATTACGAGTTTGGTTACTTTAGTGGAATATTAATTGACAGGGAGATTGGCAGCACAATCCTACACATGACTACTCTGAAATTAGTCCCACTGAATTCAGTAGAATCCGATAAGATAGTGTAGAAGTCTTAAACTCAGTGTCACAAAGTTTTGTCAAAAGATTTTACTGATATTAAATCAAACTTCTCAAACTTAGCTGCTTATTTCCAGATGCATATTTCAAGGTACTGGTTATCACCTTTAAAACCCTACATGGTTTGAGACCGGGTTACTCTTTTTCCAAGAGTTTCTATCTGTCCAATCCGATCCAAGAGATTGGGTATGCTGCAGATCCTGTCAGCCAAAGAGTGTTAACTACCAGGAATTAGAAGACCGTCTTTTTCTGCTGTAGCCCCTGCCTTATGGAATACTCTCCCCTTGGAGATTAGAATGGTCACAACCCTGTTGGCTTTTTACAAAACGTAAAAATCTTGGCTATGTACCTGGGCCTGGGGCTTGGAAAGCGTTAAGGGCCCTGTCACTTGGCTTTACTATTAGTTGGTTAATCATCACAGCTGCTGTTTTTACTTATTTATTTTACGGATGTTTTTATTGTTTTAGTGTTTTTTGAATTGTTTAATTGTTTTAGAATTTTAGAACTGTAAGCCCCCCAGAGTCACTTGGCTGAGTTGGGTGGCTGTAGAAACTGAATAAACAATGCACTTAATTTCTTAAAAAATGAATCTTAAAATACTGAATCTTAAAAGATATGTAGTAATCAATTACTATATTAACTGTAGTATTTGTTCATCTTTTCATTGCTAGGATTTGCCCAAAAGTATGGAGTATAAGAAACTTTTTACTGTAGGACTTGAAGTCCCAGATGATCCTACTATTCTACAGTTTAAAAAATGGGTCAGAAAATTCCTGTGGGAAAATGCAGACAATGGTAAATAACAGCCTTTATAATTTCATACTAGAGAGCCAGAACAATTGGAATTTTGGCAGACAGGTTGGGTATCATATAGGAATAATTACCCTTATATATCCATATTATACTAATTCAGAAACATCAAACATAGCCTGAGATAGGTTTCTACATTCTACACAGACGATAGAATGGGGTGTCTTGCACCCACATGGTTATAAAAGAGTGCTACTCTCTACCTAATATACAGGTAATCCTCAACTTATGACCTGACAATAACAGTTGTACATCATAAAGTGGGTCCTCACATAACCAACCTGATTATATTACTTTTTTTTTTGCAGTGGTCGTTAAGCAAATATGGCAGTTGTAAAACTAACCTTGTGGATGTTAAACAAATCCATTATACTCTATGGGCCGTTTTTTGCCAGTAACCAGGAGTAACACCAGTTTCTGGCAAAGCTGTCATAAATATGGAGTGCTTCAAATGGCCATAAATGTGGGCCAGTTGCCAAATGCCCAAAATGCAATCACATGATTGCAGGGTGGGGCAAGTTGTAAGGAGCTTTTGAGGGATCTGTTGTAACTTTGAACAGTTGCTAAGTCAAAGACTACCCAAACCGCATGCCAATTAACAAAGCTGTTACCTCTGTGTCAACTTTAATAGCATAAAACATCTGTTAACCAAAGAAAAAGCCAGCTTAAGACTTAGATCACCCCTCTCATAATCTAAGAAGTGGTTGGTCCTACCAGTTTTGCCTCTTCTTGATCATGCATATGCAGCAGAGGTCACACAACCTGCTCCCAAATTCCCATTTTTTCCAATTTTGAATCAAATTTTCAGAGAAATGTAATTGCATGGATCTACTAAAGAGCATTTTTAAAAAAACCTTCTTTATATCATGCAGTAACATCATATGTTTGCATTGTTTAATTTTCGTTTTGCTTTTCCAATAGAGAAACTCATTGGAGTACACTGTACTAATGGAATTAATAGAACAGGTTACCTTATATGCAGGTAAGTGTCGTAGCAAACATTAAATAATTACTTTCACTACAAAGATAGTTTGGTCATCCATAATTGTATTTATGTTCCTTTAGATATCTTATTGATGTTGAAGGTTGGGATCCAGAAACCGCAATCCAAGGTATTTGCGTGCCATTTTAACAGAATCCCAGGTTATGCAATACTGTTTGGTTGATTGAGCTGTTGTAACCGAGAACCAACATACCACTTCCCAAAGTATCACACGTGAACTGAAGAATTTTCTCCCCTGCTTTTGCTCTCGGGCTCATAACACCAAAATGTGCTTCATGGAATTCCAGCAGGATTTCCATGCTGGAAATGGAAATGGCCTCCCTTCCTATATTTGAATGAAAGCACTTTGCACTTGTATAATAAAAGGAGAAGTGTTTCATATAATTTCTTTAGGTAGTCCAGACCTAATACTGCTTGCAGTTTTTCTGGAAAGTTGACTTTGTGGCATTGTCTCCTTGCAAAAATGCCTAGTGAATAAGCAATTCACTTACTATAGGTAGTCCTTGACTTTCAACAGTTCGTTTACTGACCGTTCAAAGTTACAACACTGAAGTGACTTATGACCATATTTCACACTTATGACTGCTGCGGCATCCTCATGCTCATGTGATCAAAATTCAAACACTTGGCAACTAACTCATTTCTATGAGGGTTTCAGTGTCCCAGGGTCATGTGATCCCCTTTTGCAACCTTCTGACAAGCCAGAAGTCAATGGGAAAGCCAGATTCACTTAACAACTGTGTTGTTAACTTAATAACTACAGTAATTCACTTAACGTGGCAGGAAAAGTCATAAAATGGGGCAAAACTCAATAAATGTCTCACTTAGCAACAGAATTTTTGGGCCGAATTGTGTTCATAGGTTGAGGATTACCTGTACATTAGTTTCTATATTTATTGTATATTTATTGACATGTCAAAATCATGGTGCTGTGGCTGACATACAAGAAATGTTCATAGCAATGGATAGGTTTTGTGATTGAAAAAGAAGTATAATATAGGACTCCAGTGAGAGGCATTGGCCAGTTTTGGATGCAATAGCAAACAATTTATTTTATAAGCAGAGATTTGTAGGAAGAAAAAAAATTCTTTCTCTCTTGGTGGTACAAAGAGGAAATCCAAATATATACAGTTTCAAGTCACTGCAGTTACTATGACAACTGTTTTAATATTCTTCTTTCTGATAACCATTTCCATTTAACTGGGGCAAATTCCAGGAAGTTTCAATTTACTGTTAAATGAGAACTTTGGCTAAGTTTAGTAACAATTAATATTAAGCACAATCTTTGCTTGTGCTTAAGTAGAAAAAAATACTTTTGGGAGGAGAAGCTGTACAGAGTCTTGTTCCTGATTTGCTATGCTCAGCTGATAGGAACATTTATATGAGAACCATCCTGTTGCAGTTGTGGTTTTGAAAGAGTTATTTCTAGTATCAGCATATTATTAAAATTCTAAAAAACAGAAGTCATATTCTAGAATTATGTGCTGTTATTCAACTTTTCCTCAACAGCTTGTCCATTTTTCACCGAGAGCACTGTTTCACATAACTAATGTTCTTGCCACCTGTTTAGCTTTTGGAGAAGCACGTGGTCACCATATGGATGGTCATATATATTTGACAGATCTTAAAGCTCAACCAATGAGAAGGTGAGTCAAGTCCTATTCTTGTCGAGTATGTTCTATTTCTGTTCTGACACATTTTAAATAAGCTTCAGTGTTTATTTTTTTCTGAATTTGATTGCAACAGGCAGAATAATCATTGTCTTTTTAAACATTTTATAAACAGGCATCAAATATACAGCTTGGTAAAGTGGAAAACAAATAGTGAACCCTAAAAGATTTAGGTAGATGATATGCTGATTGAAAATACCTACAAGAGTACAGCCGTTTCAGGGAGAGACTATAGAAAAGTATCCTATAATCAATAGAATTATGCTATAAATCCTGCTGAGAACTTCTCCCTTCTTTCACTGGAGATAGTGTAATCACACTATTTTTGTCTTTTTTCATTGTATCCTCAGCAAAAAAATGTGTTATATTCTCTTTTGAAATTCCTTAGCAACCTGGGGATGAATATGTGGGATGCTGATGGAGATATTGTGCCACTGCCAAATGATATAGACGGACATATTGATCGATTTCCAAATGAAGAATATTCTAGGTAACTGCCAAAAATGTATTTGTCTTCATGTGATAGGAGAATTGTATAAATCTAACTTGTATAATTCCACATACTTTATTCAATCCTGATGGAATAATAAATATTTTTGAACATGTTAAAAATATTAATGCACTCATCCTCAAGCTTTATTTCATATTAGTAGTACAGAAAACTGTAAGCAGGGACATGGGTCAAAGGTCATTGCTCCATTTTTTGCAGTTTCCTTTTGGTTAGCTGGAATCCTTACTGGCAACTCACCAGCTTTCTCACTGTACCAACCTCAGCAGGAAAGAGAGGCTTTCATAGCCAAGCTCAAAATGCAGGGGAGTGAGAATTAGACCCTATGCATAAGTGTATTTACATGTACCATCTGGGTCAGAGAAGATGTTCAATAAGGGCAAATTAAATTCTAAAATATTTTGAGAAATTTACATTTGTCCTTTTATAATTTGTTTTTGTTAATCTATACCAGGGGTGTCAAACTGCCGGCCCACGGGCCGGATGCATCATCCAGAAGCCGCACCCACCCCATTGCCGGCAATGGCAAAACCGTCCCAATACGTTGCGCAACGTCATGTGACGTCGCGAGTTTAACATGTCTGATCTATACTATCACTTGAATTTCTTAAGAAATAATACTTAACAATTTTTCCTAACAGGCCTGGTAAAAGACCAAGAGTTTATGATGATAGCCCCAATGATTTTCCAGAACAGATCCGATTGAGAGAATTTGATTTTATTAATAAGGGTCCTGGGCAACGTCGAAAACCATATCATGATTACCATTTTCATGATGACATCCAGCCACTGCCACAAATGAGACAAAGGCATTTCCCTGACCATCAGTTTCATGATGACTACCAAGAAGAAATGCAGATTAAAGATTTAAAATTTAGTACAAGAGGATCAAGACACAGATTTCAGTCTTTTCAAGACCACCAGCTTGATAATGACTTTCCAGGAAATGTATCAGGTGGAGACATTAATATGGACTGTAGTCAAAGGCATAGACATTTTGCTGACGCTCCTTGTTATAACCATAGACCGACAGATAACCAGCTCAATGGAGGGCGAGGACAAAGACGAAGACCATTTTACAATCGGCAGTCTAGTGATGATTTTCAGTCACCCTTGCAGGACAAAAATCAGTTGTTCCTGAACAAGAAACCTATGGAAAGACTAAGATTGTTTCAGAATGATGTTCATGATGATGTCCAGCCACCTGCGGAAGATTTTGAGTATGTTGCTAGAGAGTGTGGACAAAGAATTGTACCTTTCCTTGACCAGCAGCATTACAGTGAATTGCGAAGAAAATTGTCATTAGAACATTTTGATGATGAAGATTCCAATGGAAGAAGTAGACCATTCCATGATAATCAGTCATACTGTGATTTTAGTGAGAAGTCACAGATGCAAGATTTCCAAAACAGGGGACCTGAACAAAGGCTGAATTCTTTTAATGATCATTCAACTCACATTAATGAGTCATACGAGGAATATTCTGAAAGGTGAGAAGAATTATTGATTAGCTTCAATAATATTACATTATTTGTTCATTTTTTCTTTTGCAACCAGTTTTTAACTAGCAAAACTGAAGATCATATAAATCAATAAAACAGGCATCATTGCCTTTTAATTTGTTACTAATAGTTTGAATTACATTTATGCAGAGCCAGATGCAGATTTTTTTTACACATTTCTGTAAATCCATTCATACTAGCTAGTTTACACTTTTGATATATGATTATACTAATGGAACTGGCAACCATGGTATAAACATAGTTCTTGGCCTACGACCACAATTGAGCCCAAAATTTCTGTTGCGAAGCTAAGCAAGACATTTGTTAAGTGAGTTTTGCCTCATTTTATGAGTTTTGCCTCATTTTACGACCTTTCCTATCATAGTTGTTAAATGAATAACTTCAGTTGTTAAGTGAGTAACATGGTTGTTAAGTACATCTAGTTTCACCATTGACTTTGCTTGTCAGAAGGTCTCAAAACATGATCACATGAACCTGGGACATTGTAACTATCATAAAGATGATAGCGTCAATTGTCAAGCGTCTGAATTTGATCACTTGACCATGGGTATGCTGCAACGGTCGTAAGTGTGGAAAACAGTCATGAGTCACTTTTTTTCAATGCCACTGTACCTTTGAATGGTCATTAAATGAACTATTGTAAGTCAAGAACTACCTGTATACTGTAGATGCTTTCAACTTAAATGGAAAACTAAATATAAATACTATGAATTTTAAATTAAATGAAAGAAAGAAAAAATATATATGTTGGGTATCTCTGAGAACAGATCTGCATTATTCTGATAGCAGACTTGAATGAATGGGTGGGAATAAGACAACAGAATATAGAAACAGTAATTGGTCTTTTTGGACATCCACAAATTAATGAAAATGGTGGCTTAGTATCCGTTTTGTTAAATATCTCTTTGCTTAATATTTAAGCATAAACCTGTTAATACATACAAATAAAAAAGGAATGAATATAATTGAAATAGCCGCCTGCTTTGATTATGTTGAAAATTTAACAATAAAAAATGGGTAAGGGGTGTTTCTAAATGCGGGAGAGACCACTAGATGGTAGGATGAAGAGTGACTTTGGGAGGAAGTGGATGTGAAAAGACAAGGAAAAATTAAACAAACTAGAATGGAGTAGAACAACTACAGAAAGAGAACGTGTGAATCTTGTATTTTAAAATAAATTATACGTGAAATGATTATTACTGCAAAATGATGAAAGTGTTGTTTAGTGTACATGTAGAGAAAAATATTGTCATAAAGAATGTAGTTGAAGGCAAAGAATAATTGTTTTGGAAGAGTGAAGAAGGTTAAACTAGGATCTTGCACATCAGAGTAGAATTAAAAATAAAAGTGATGGAATTAGTGGGAGTGAAACTGAAACAAGACTATTGCAAGGAATATTGTATTCTAGAGTTTGTATGATAATGATGCATCAAAAATGAAGTTGAAACAATTGCTGTAAATGTCAGTATTCAAGAAAGGGGAATGAAAGGGAAATTAAAATACTGTGCGATTGTTGGAAACCCAGTATAGATGGTAGCAAAAGATCAGGAGTCTAGCACCTTTTCTGGCTAACCAATTTTATTAAAAGCGTAAGCTTGCATGAGCTGCAGCTCAGTTCATCAGATGCCTGGAGTGACTACACTTATGTTGGATTTAACTTGAGGTGAATTGGAGAGGAAGGGAAGAGAAAATTGTTGGCTATGCAGATACAGACTACACATGAATCAGATTACAAGTACCCTATCAATTAACAATTGTAATGTGTTAAAAACCCATTGTTGAGAGCTTCTGAGCCTGGAACCATTGGATGTGAGTTCAACAATTTCTCACTTGATGATGCTGTTTAATTCTATTTTTTCTCATTAGTCACTTTCAGATCTGCTACGGAAGGTCCTGGGAAGTTGAAATGCTCTGATATTACTTTAGCTTTGTTTTGAGTTTTGATGTCAAATTATTTTCTGCAGAGATTGTCCTAATAGAATCCAGAGGAGCATTTCTGGAAGATGATGGCACATGGTATGGATAGGATAGATGCAGATGGCATAACTGAAGAAATGTTTAAATATGAATGTGCTTTGCTTACAAAACCAACTGTGCCTGGGAATTGGTTTCATTCTAGCATCCTGCCAGAGGTTTGAACCCTGCTGTCCTTTAAATGAGCTCTAAAATCTTGGCTCTTTTCCCAGACTTTGGGCAAAGGTGGGATGTGGCCTCCCTGAGTGAAGAGCTTTGTAGCTCTTTCTATGTCAGTCTTCCTTTTTTGTTGTCTGGTGTTATTCTCTTTCTTTGGTTTTAAATTTGTGCACCACCAGAATCACTGAAGTTCAAGTTACAAAATCTAAATTATTTATAAAGAAATAACTAAATAAAATGTAAGAATAAATGGAATACTTAGCACAAAATTCAGAATCTAACAAAGAGTAAGAAGGGATGTGTTATGTCTCTTTGGTTGTGTAACGTATTAATGGATTTATAAGGAATGCTTGTGATGATGCAGAGATGTGCTAATTGGGGACATAAAAATTGGGAAAATGTTATATGCAGAAATGCCTCGTTGTTGAGATCCTGTATAATTTGTAGCTAATGTTAGGTAAATAGTGTGATGCAACAAGAAGTAACTAAAAATTATGGTATTAAATACCAAGTAAGTTTTGGAGTGAATGACTGCAAATTATACCTAAATGTTGAAAAAGTGCAGGTAGATGAAATCGTAATCTTTGCTGGAATGTTTTGTAAATATAGGGAAATGAAGAAATGTTAAGACATGCAATTACTACTAGAAAGGTGATGAAAAGTATGTGATCTGTTATGAAAATATTTATATATAGACAGAAAATATTCTGTCTATAACAGAAGAAACATAAAGGTTGAATGGAATGGGAATAAGTTACTGAAGTTACATGGTAAAACATGAACAGCAATGAATGGGTACTGGATTAATGTGGATTGACTACTAAACTGAATTACCAGTATGAAAAAAATATATTAAGGAAGTTTGATCATATAGAGGGAATGAATTGTGAGCAAAATATATAAAAGAAGAATGAATCAGTCAAGAGATAGGAAAAGATGGAATAAGTTGTGTTAGATGAAATTAATGAGATTTTTTTAAAGGTGAGAAGTTTATTAACTTGATTTTTCTCCTGGGTTAGTACTTTATAAGTAACTCAGGACAGCATACATACTCCTCCCTCTTATTATTTTCCCACAACAATCCTATAAAGTGGTTGGACTGAGAGACTGACTGGCCCAAAGTCAGCGACCTGACTGTCATGCTTAAGGTGGGATTAGACTCACAGTCTCATGGTTTCTAGCCAGTACCTTAACCACTAGACCAAACTGGCTCTCTAGATAAAAGTTTAAAGAATAAATGACAATGTATAAAGCTGTATATAAATATTATGAAAGCAAACAAGTCTGGAGAGCTAAAATGGTATTGGCATAAATTAGAGGTACTAAATTTCATTCTCATTTCTTATCTCATTTCTTTGCCTTGCATTTTCTTATTTCCCAACTACACTTTGCAAAATATTGCTTATCATGAAAGGGCATGTATATACTGTAACAGGTTTGCATGTCACGGAACATAGAAGAAATGATTGATGGAATGAGATATAGTCATAATGAAAATTGCAAAGCTTGTTGAAAATTTTGTTTTAAAGCCTAATAATCTTTGGAAGTCCATCACCCTCATATTACACAACATTTATTTTACATTACATGGTTAGGTGTGTATGTTTGGATCCATAATTATGTGAAAAAGAATTTTATGGCTAAGATTAAGGGAGAAAGGGTGGGATGAGTTCTGTAGAACTCATCACAATAGAATATAAAGTGATACTGGAGCTAGGGAAGGAAGAGAAATTGTGAAAAACCCATCTAGCAAGGCATTTTTGTTGGATCCTGGGATGTATTATCAATGAACCAATCCTTTTGATTACCTAATGTCAATTAACTATACAGGTAGTCCTCAACTTGCAACAGTTTGTTAAGTGACTGAAGTTACAACAGCACTGAAAAAAGTGATTTATGATCATTTTTCACTCTTACAATCATTTCAGCATCCTCTGGTCATGTGATCAAAATTCAGATGCTTGCCAACTGACTCAAATTTATGATGGTTGCAGTGTCCTGGGGTCATGTGATTACCTTTTTACGTTCTTCTGACAGGCAACATCAATGGGGAAGCCAGATTCACTTAACAATGTATTACTAATTTAACAACCACAGTGATTCACTTAACAACTGTGGCAAGAAAGGTCATCAAATGAGGCAAAACTGTCTCACTTAGCAACAGAAATTTTGGACTCAATTGTGGTCATACGTAAAGTATTACCTGTATAGTATCACATCTATTTTTTTCTTCATTACATGACCTCTTTAACAATTTACTCTTTTGAGTCCTTGGTTCTCTCTGAGTAAACCTTGTTTTAAACCTTGGTCTACTTGCAGACATTTCATTACCCAAGTAGGAAACATCATTAATGCTAGCAAATGTGGGATTTGCTTCCTTTTTATAGAGTAGCTTACCCTGCCAATGTGGTAGAGATGTGATTTTTTTCCTTGGTAGTTTCTTGATTACAGTATTATATTCTGCTGAGAAGGTTTATTCTTTTCCATTCAGAAGCCATCGTTTTCCTTCTCATGAGTACTACACAGAGTCTCCCTTACTTCAGAGAGATTATGGATCTGATAAAGATAATTATAGTAGAACTTGCAGGTAAAATTGTGATTGTCACAGGGGTTCATACAAAATGTATTATTGTTTTGATTCAAAAATTAAGATTAAAATTGGCTCCAGGTATGCTATTCAAAGGCCTAATGCACCCCAGTCCTGAAAAATTATATACATTGTATGATAATAAAACTGTCTATAATTCTGCTGTTTCAACTTTAACAAGAAGACAGTCTTTTAAGAACATGATACATCATTTAAAAGACTTAATTCTGGTTAGGTGAAAACCTTAGCTAACATTTAACTGTTAAGTTCCATTTTGATGTATTCTTAACTTAAACTGAAACAGCAATATTTATTCCCAAAAAAGGTATGATCACAAAAAATGCATAACCCCATAACTTAAATTCTAGCAATACAGTCATATTGGCATATTCATAAGTATTATTTATGATTCAATGTGTACTAATCTGAGACAAAGATGTGTATAAGTTTGCTGTGAAACTCTGCACATAGGAGTCCTCGACTTAACAATTGTAATATACCTGCCCATTACGATTGTAAGTCATGACTCTCGTAAAGCAGGCTACCATGTGACAGACCCAGTTTTATGGCTTTTGTTTTGCAGCGGTCACTAAGCAAATCACCATGATTGTTAAGTGAATCTGTGATCAATAAGCCAACCCATTGTTCGCTATCCCGGTTTTGCCAAAACTGGGAATTAAACACGATTTTTAGCAAAAAGTTGTAAAAATTGCAGTCATGTGACATTGAGACACTACAAATGGCCATAAATGCAGGCTGGGGAGTCTGTCATAACTTGGAACAGTCACTAAACAACCAATTGAAAGTTGAGGACTACTTGTAATCTACAGTTCTGTGTGAGTAGATTTAAGGGGTGTTTTCCAAGACATACATGAAACATGTCCCATGTTATTAAAGAGATTAAGAATCCTTCTAGAGAGGATACTGGACAAATTGGAATCTTTCCATACTTGAGCATCTGTCTCATCACATATTTCAGCAAAATAGCTTAAAATTAGAAAGCCAATAAGAAAGAACTATTACACAGAACCTGTAGTATAATTTGAAAGAAGGCATTTTCTACATTTACTTTGAAAGATTCTTTCCCTAGACAATATTCAGTGAAATCATGTACATTCTGATACGTTTCTTTGAATTAGCTATTTGTTGTTTCAATAAAATAATACCAATGTTAGTATGTCTCATTGCTACACATTACTCTGTTCATTATAACATTTGATTAATAATTGTTTTCATATTACAGATCTGATTGCCTTGACAATTACAGGAAAATCCATCCTTCTGATGTAATTAACAGAGAAGGAAAAGCTAGATTTGCACCATATTCTTCTTACCTAACCCTTCACTCTTCATCTTCACATCAGGAACTGAGTTCAGTCTCATTGCACAGTGAAAGGGAACATCAGCGTGAAATTAAGAGAGAGATGAGCCAGGGGAAAAAATTACCGGTTGTAACCATTGATTATAATTATGGCTTGCCTTTGGACTATGCTTCTGAAGAGGAAGATAGAGCTCATTATGACCCACGCACAACAGAGCGCTACATTTTGAAATGAATTGGACGTGTACCTGCATGAATTATTTTATTGTATTCCTGTATATTGACCAAATTACTGCTGAAGTTAAAAAAAACTTCATTATCATTCAATGTTACGAAAAAATATCTGTAATAAGTCTAGTTCATTTTTTTCCTATTTAAATGATAAATAATTGGTTAAATATATGTGAAAACAATGCCTGATTTATGTAAAATAAAACTAGATTCTCATTCATGAGACTGAACAACCATAACCATGAACAAATTGTTCTCGCTGCTTTCCTCAACATATGTATAAAGTGTTTCAGCTAAAATATAGTAAAACAATTGGATTACTGATTTTGATATAATGTTACTCTAAAATAAAGTAGGATTTGAAAGGAATGCAAAATATATAAAGATAAATTCAATTCTGGTAATGTGGCTTATTCTTTTGATAATAATAATCTAGATTTTTCAATATTTCTTTTGAAAAATGTCCATGTAAATATTGTTTCAGAAAGAAAACCTGTCACACTAGAAAAAAAACAATAAACTTGAGATTTGTGTTCAGTTATTATATCTATATTATATCAAGATTTCACTTTTCAGTTGAGGGACCAGATAGTTAGAATATAGCCTGAATATATAGTGAATATAAATATAGTATATTTACCATTCTAATTTCCCAGGAGATGATAAATTAATTAGTTTCTTGGATATAAGACAGAAGCCTCTCACTATTGTATTTCATACCACAGCCACATGTAAGGTGCATATCAAATATGTTATTCGAAGATCTTCAGCCCTGTAAATATTATTCTAAACTAAAGGGCACTGTTTATTCCCCCTGCATTACAAGCACATTCAACTCAAGTGTGGGCACAATTATTATTTGGTCTTTATTTACATTCAAATTCTTCTTTTGCCCCTTTGGAAAGAATTCAAATTTAGGACCATATTTCAAGTCCCATATTGCGTCTCAAATGCAATCCTACATCCTAACGCTGGCATCACCACACAAATTCAGCACCTTGGTACAAATTTTCACATCTTAGGTTAAATTATTCTTTTCCTCAGTAGGTCTAAGTCCCTAGGTCCCTTTCCAATGATTTTGTCTCCTCATGGGTTGAGACAATATATTAAAATGGAACATTTAAGTTTTTAATTCAAGTGTTTACAGTAAGAGCATACAGTAAAGGTAATCATCCAATGCCTTAAGGACATCAATGTTTCTTTCTGCAGGCACACTTCAAAGTAGCCTTTGTTGTTTCAGACTAGTCATCCCCACAAGGAAGAACAGACCAAAAAATCAATTCCACAGGAAAGCTAAAACTATTTTTATTAAGAGTAGTTATAACAACAGAATCTTGCAAGTCTTTTATTTACAGTTCAATGCATTAGAGAGGTGTTGTTTTTAGCCTTTTCTAAATATCTGTTTGTGGCAGACTTAAAATACATTTTGTCATCTTGGCAATGGAGTGGGTATAACTCCATCCAGATCACCTTCTTTGCTTTCTACAAAATTTAACTAAATTACTGTCCCCAGACTAAGGAGTGCTTTAACAGGGGCTCTGTTTTAAAGGGGAGATACATTCAAATCTAGATGATATATACAGAGAAGTCATTAAAACCATCAACATGGTCTTTTTATTCTGTTTATTTCATGCTGATATTTGCTCTTAACTCCACATATAACTAAATTCCATGGTCACTGATTTTATTTAAAGTGGTTATTTTCAGAATCAATGACTATTTCTTTAAATGTGGCCAAATTTTGTCATGTAACATGTTGTGCTTGGCTAATGAATTAATATTACTATAGTTTATGCAATATATTTTATAGATTGTTCATTGACCATAATAAAAAATCTCCTTACAGACACAAACCAAAGACAATTGCACTGGCTACCTCAGTATTTTAAAGTGCCTAGAAAAATGTGAAATACTTGAAAATTCAATTAGGGTTTTATTCCTGAACATTTCTAAGACTTATGTCATAGAATCTGGAAAAACAAATAAAGCTAAACTCATATTTATCTTAACAGAGCTTAGTTCACCATAAATCCTAAATAAGTAATTTGAATTTATTTCTGGTGAGTTCAAATTAGATGATAAGTAGAATTTAAAATTATGAGATCCTTATTAAGTTGCCCATTAAAATACTCTAAACGATAAGAGAGAGGAGGCATTTTTCTTTGGTTTTAGCTTGCCAATCAGTCATTGGCATGGCATTCATCAGAGGCTCCCAACATCAGAACTTCTTGGGAATGGGTTGAACTGAGCAACTGGCCCAAAGTCATCCTGCTGGCTTTCATGCAGAAGAGAAGACTAGAACTAACAATCTTGTTTTCAACTCCAACCTTAACTGCTGCACCAAAATGGCTCTCTAATTTGTTTATATCTCATTTTGTTCCCCCTCCCATTCTTCTCCCAGAAAAACAACCCCAAGGGGTATGTTGGGTTGATACAAAAGGGCCCACTGTGTTTCCTTGGTTGAGGCTGGACTTGATCCTAGATCTCTCTATTCCATCACTGGTCTCCCATCATTGTTCAGTGCAATCTGTTGCCTCAGATTCAGAAAAGTGGCTTTGCCACATGCCTGATATATTATTATGCTACATAGTCAGAGGCTTGTATTATTCATTTGATAAGGCTATTTATATTTTGATTTATATATGCTTCCCTTTGGCTCATACACTTAAAAGCCATGCTCACAGACAATAAGCGATGCACAGTTTAAAGTGTGAGTGTGTTTTATGAAAGTACTATTCACGCATGAAAAGCTGGGACAGCTTTTCCATGAAGCCCAGATCCGCCCCGTGTGAACAAAAGATAAAAAGTGAACATGCCTTTGTCATCAGGCAGATAAGAAATAAACTCAACTGCTGAATAAACAGGATCAGAGATTATGCATCTAATTCAGCTCTTTCCCAAAGCTGTTGTTTTCAAAAAGAGAAAATAAAATGACAGAAGTGAATTTGCAGCATAGATTAAATAAACATTCTAGATTAACATAGTCCACAAAGGCAACATCAAGCTATAGGTTTGGGTTTATACTGTTTGAATAATTAAAATTAGCTGCTCTTGTTTTTTTTACAACGCCCTCTCTGTGCCATGTGTTCAATACACAAATGTCAACTTCCTTGTGGACACTTCTATATGAGGTATCACATTCATTTTATAACTGATATTTTTTTATTTACAAACTTCTAAATTAAAAGGAAAATTAGTGAGCTGCAAAACCTTGTGAGTAATCCATTTTCCATGACTATTTCTGGACCCTATACACACATACACACATACACACACAATCCAGGAATTTATATATATATATATATATATATATATATATATATATATATATATATATATATATATATATATATATATATATATATATATGTAGGTCTTTGGTCATTCGGGTTCTCTCCCACGTAAAATTGGAAGTGTCCTGGCGACGTTTCAACGAAGTCACATTCGTCATCTTCAGGCTGGTGTCTTCAGCTTCGTGGACACCAGCCTGAAGATGACGAATGTGACTTCGTCAAAACGTCGCCAGGACACTTCCAATTTTACGCGGGAGAGAACCCGAATGACCAAAGACCTACATACAAACACCCGCAAAAACCTCAGAAAACATATATATATATATATATATATATATATATATATATATATATATATATATATATATATATATATATATATATACACACACACACACACACACACACACAGAATCCAGGAATTCCTAGGAAATAAAAAGGGTAGGAGGACATTCTTTTTCTACTTTCCTATTTAGAAAAACAGCTGAACTGAAACAGTGGAAAACATTATGGGAGGCTCTAAGGGGTAAAACTGAAAAATTTAATTTTCTATTGCAAGGGAAAGGGGTGGGTTTTTTGCCTAATCATATCCAATACATTGTAGTAGCCACTAGTCAGAAAACACATAATGCAGTATGTGATTTCAATCCAAAAGGAAGTAGATAACTTTGTCTTTGGGTAGAGGGAAGGTGAGATCAAGAGACAAGTCATGATGTTGCCATGTGATCCTGGTGACTAATCTGAAATCAGGACTCAAGAATTAAAGGACCGAGTTTGACGGTTGTGTGAATGTCTATTGGTAAAATTTAAAAGTGCCAAAAAGAAAAAGGCCACAATTTCATCATAGTTATTTGATGGTATGCTCCATAACGAAAGGCAGGTATACTTATTATGACAACGCATAATGTGTGTATTTGGTTTCACCTTGGCAAACCCAGCCACAGTGGTTTGTAAATCTTGGCTCATATCTTAGCATGATTGTTTTAAGCCAACCTACCATTGTTTTTGGAATTCGTACCGTGATTAAAGATGCTGAGCTTGTCAGCTGGAGAGCTGACAGCTTGGATTCGACACCAGAGCTCCATGCAAGGGAATGAACTCCCATTACCTGCCCCAGCTGCTGACCACCTAGCAGTTTGAAAGTAGGCAAATGCAAGTAGATTAAGAGGTACCACTTCAGTGGGAAGGTAACAGCCTTCCGTGTGCCTTTGGCATATAGCCATGCTGGTCACCTGACTACGGAAATTGTCTTCGGACAACGCTGGCTCCCTTGGTCAAGAAACAGAGATGAGCACTGTGCCCTAGAATCAGACACAACTGCCAGGGGAACTTTTACGTTTACCATGGATAAACACATAATAGTTTAGCTACTTTAGTCTGCTTGTGCTTGAATGATATACCAAATCATAAAACAGTTAACCAGGTTATTTATCCTGGTTACCTTATATTTTAGTGTGTTGTACAAATCAGTAAGTCATGGTTCAATTAGCCACGGATTAGTGTCTTGTATGAACATGCTACCTATAATAATGTATCCACCCAATACATTGGCTGTTTTTTGCAGAATACGCTGAAACACAAATTAACCAATGGTATTTTAGTTGTTGTACAAACCCAACCTATAAGACTAGTTTATAGTTCAAGGAATCATGCAGTCCTGGAAAATTAAGTAAATCAGATTAGGTCAACCATAGGCTAAGATTAAATTATGTGAATGCAACCATTAGCTGTTTATTTTGTACATCACTTAAGAGATTTTAGACTGACATAGTTTATAAGTCCTACTAATGAATAAATTGCAAAACTAAATTAACTAGCATAGTTATCCTGTCATCCACCTTCACATGGGCTTCTGTTTAACTGGGGTTCTGGTTTATTCTCTCTGCAGATTTGGAATGGTCATGATCTTGAATGACTGCAAACTAGATGTAGTCACTTATGACAAATCTAGGTTACAAAAATTTCAAGATGCTATGAATCAGGAATTTTAATTAAAAACTTTTTGTGACAAGATTTGGCTAATTAATGTTAGCAGATAATGGCAAGAACAAAATATTTTTAACTATTTTTCAGAACCTCTTCTATGATTGTG